TAAGTAATAAAAAGAATCACAAGTATAAGCAACAATCTTGATGAACCTTACAAACATGAGCTTAGAAGAGTCGTAAATGAATACATGCAATTGAATCTTACAAATTTATATGTACTCAAATGACACTATACAGCATACTTTTGGGATAAATCTTTAAACAAAATCAGCCAAAAAAGGATTACCCAGAATCATACTGTATGACAATTTATGAATGTAGTTAAAACTAATAGGTAAATGCGTGAGAAAAAATATATACCATGCAACAGCAAGCATAAGCAACCTGATTCCCTGACACCATACTCTCTCACTCATACACATACAGAGACACAGATTCACAAACCCTCTAAAGTGGCAATACTAATGTCAGAGTAAGTAGATTTCAAGACCAAGTGGACTTTTTTAGAGACAAAAGATAATGATATGATCATAAATGTTAAAATTTCATGTGACAAGATGAGAAAAATCTTAAGATCTTGTAATGGATTTCAAATACATGAACCAAAAAACTAACAAAATTAAAGTAACAGACAATTTTTCAAGCAATTAGCTAAAATTTTTAGCATATCTTTTTCAGTAACTGATAAAATAACTTGACAAAATTCATTAAAGGCATATATTTAAATAATACTAGCAACAATCTTGATCTAATTGCTTTCTATTCACAGAACAGTAAACCCAACACCTTCAAGCACAGGTAGTAATACAATAAGACATGTCATAAGTTGGGCCATAAAATGAATCTGAATGAAAGTAAAATGTTGAAATCATTCAGCATACCTTTTGACCACAATGACATCTGAAATAACAATAAAATGCCTAGAAAATCCTCTAATGTTTGAAAATTGAGCATGTTCTAATAATCCATGGGTCAAAGAAGAAATCACACTGGAAATTATAAAATATATCAAAATAAATGAAAATGATACAATATAAAAAGTCAGGATAAAGCTAAAGTTGAAAAGGGGAAGTTTGTAATTTTAATGGCCTGTATTTGAGAACTATAAAAGTCTAAGATCAATGGCCTAACACATTACCTCCAAATACTAAAAAATGAAGAGCACAATAAATTCAAAGGAAGCAGAAAATAATAAAAGCATCATTAATGAAACAGAAAATAAACAGTAGAAAAAAAACAAGACAAAGTTTTGTTCTTTGAAAAGACAATTAGCAAACTCTAAGCTAGACTAATCCAATAAAAATAAGACTGTAGACAAATAACAAATACACAAAATGAAAGAGAGCTTATCTTCATTGCTCCAACAGACATCAATAGGAAGTTAAAGAATACTATGACACCTTCATGTTAATTTAGATAAATACAGTACTTGAAAAAATTTCATTGAAAAACTGTTTCAAAGTAAAGGAGATAAAATAGCATAACTAATGAATTGGTTATTAATGAACAAATAAATGAACCAGTACTGAATCCTGGATCAGGGTTAAAATTGTTAGTCAGCTCTCCGTTGATATCACAAAATAACTGAGATAATCAATTTAAAAGGGGAAAAGATTTTATTTTGGCTTATGGTTTCAGAGGTATGAGTCCATGGTCAGTTGGCTCTTTTGTTTATGAACCTATGGTGAGGTAGAATATCATATAGTGGAATAGCCAGGAAGCAGAGAAGGGGCTAGATTCCTAACATCTCCTTCAAGCACACACCTCCAGTGGACCTAACTTTCTTACACTAGTCCCTGCATCCTAAAAGTTCCACGAATTCCCAACAGTGCCAAAAGCTAGCAACCAAGCATTCAATACATGGCCTTTGGGGGACATTTAAGATCTAAGCTGTAATAAATTGGTATAAAGGGACATTGTAAAATTTCAATGTGGATGATGTCTGACTACTGTTTAATCAGTATTAAATATTTTGAATTTGATATTTCATGATGGAAAAAAGCTGCCGAGTTCTGTAAAATTCTACATCAGAATTCTGTGGAATCCAAAGTTAGAAACTACTTTTAAATTTGCAAGTCATTCAAGTAAAAACTATACTTTTGTACTGTGAAATAAGCAAATGAAAAAATGAATGATATGAAAGTAATTTTGGCTAAGACTAAGTTCATGCATTTTTAAGCTACCTACCATCTTGTACTTTAGGATTCACAGAATACTTGCTAATGGGATTAAGATCACAGAACCAGGGATCAAGTTGTCCATGCCTAGGTTAGGGTCAAGAAATTTAGTATCTACTTCTGAGTAGGTCGAGAAATAGCTTTTGAGTAGAAAGAAATTTTATGGCAGACCAATTCTTAAAAAGCTAGAAAAGCCAGATTTTTAAAAATCCATAAAAAAATAAAAATCGGGATAATTTAAATATGCAATAATAGACAATTGGTTGGATAATATCCAAGTATAAAATAATATGCTATTAACCAAACTTTTTTTTCTTGAAGACTATTTAATGCTAAGGGGAAAAGCCCATAATGTGAAGGAAGAGTGAAGGACATGATGCTACAGGAATTATAAAATACATGAAATAGTTAGGTCCTCCACTTTGAAAATCAGCACCTGCCATCTTAAGAAGCCTGCCCAGGCATGACTATCAAAATCACAACAAAGATGCCAAGTAACAATCACAGGACCCGATGGCTCACTTCTTAACTACTTCATTGTACATGACTATATAGCTAAGAAGTTTTTTGCAACAGCTTACAGGACAGCCTGGCAGATATTCTCTGTCAATAAACCTTTGCTTGACTCAGAGGTGTGTGTCACGTAGATATTTGCACCAGCTACCCTAACAAATATTTATTTTTCCATTTGGAAATATGCCATAATGTTAGATGATTATCTGAGTAGAGGACAGTGACAATTTTTTTTGTTGTTTTTCCCAATTTTCTAAAAAAATACACTACTGTCACCAGCTGGCCAGGCTGACAAGATAGGCTGAGTTTAAAGGAGCTGGATGCAGCAATAACTAAGAAAATGGTGAAGAAACCACACAACACACAAACCTGAGTTTCAAGGGTGGGACTGCTCTGTGTCCTCATGGGTCAGCTGCACACTGGGCAGCGCTGGAAAAAGCAAGAGAGAAGAAGGGAGTGCACACCTGAAACTCCCGTTTTTAATTGGGGAAAAGACATTCAATAGAATATTCTACCCAAATAAGGCAAGGGATGGGTTTCAAAAGGTGGAGTCTTGCTTGGTGATTTCTTATGGTCAGTAGACTCATTGACATCTTGGCAAGTCACAGCCATCTGAGGTGCTGTGTGGAACCACATGCAGAGAGGGAAGAAAGGTACACTTGCTTTGCACAGCCCAGTCAGCACACAACGTCAAACCAGTCCCCTCATATGCTCAAATACACATAGTTCACATACACAGCCCATGGATGGCTCACAACACACTACTTCTATAATTAAAAAAAAAAAAAAAAAGTCAAAATTAAATGGGAGCAGTCTTTCACTACTTGAAATATATAGTTTACGTAAGATCATTTCTATTGACTCTGACTCTCTAAAATTAGTGAACTGATAGCTCTTTTAAATAGCAATCAATAAATTTTTAAAAAATGTAAAACTATTACATATGTTTGGTTAACTCGGTAAACAATGTAGCAAATGTTTTTCTTTCCAGGAAAACTAAAGGCTATTATTCTTGAACAGTCATTGTACTGACCTATACACCAGTAATGCCCTCTACAAATACTGATGGATGTGAAACTTATCTTCCTGGATGGCGAAATTTACCAGAACTGTTTCAAGGAATGATACTTCTGTCTTCTCTAGAGTCATGTTATTCAAAACATCATCAGCATCATCTATGAGTCTTTTCCTTTTTTGGTACTAGGGATTAAACCCGGGACTTACCACTAAGCTACATTCCCAGCCCTTTTAATTTTCATTCTAAGACAAAGTCTAAATTGCTGAGGGCCTCACTAACTTGCTGAAGCTGACCTTGAATTTGTAATCCTCCTGCTTCAGCCTCCCAAGTCACTGAAATTACAAGCTTGTACCTCCATGCACAGCTCCTATAAGCTTTGGAGACATGCAAAAGCTCCGGACACGTTCACTTTTACTAAATAATAATCTGCATTTTCAAAAGATTCCCAGATGACTCAGATGCAATTGAAATTTTGAGTTCTGTTCTATACTACAATGAGTAATTTTTTTCTGTCTTAACAATAACATGAACTCTGGTTTATGCAAACACTTCTCCACTTGTAATCAACATTGCCTCCCCACTGATCTCCCAATCCCTTATTTCCATCATGTCATTGTATGGGAAACACAATCAAATCCTGTACATAAATTTCAAATGTTTCCATGCTGAATCCCTCTTTCACATATATCTGAAGCAGAGAGGACACAATTATATCAGCTATAACGTCTAATGTCAGGGTCCAGACAATGACACTTTCGAAGTTCTTGAAAACCACAGTGCCAGTGCTACAGATATTTTATAGGCATAACACTATACTGTTAAAATAATTTTTCAAATTAATATTCTAAAATTTATATACCCAACTGATTATTTCCCTCTTCAAAGAAGTCATTCAGGGAGAGAATAAATGCAATTTCCTTTGCTTAAAACCTTTCTATCACTTTTCTTTCAGAATTGTCATTAGTCAAAATAAAACAATACGATAAATTTCTTCTTCTTGCCTCAACTTCTTTAATCCTATCTACAGTCTGAAAACAATTCCTAATCATTTAATTATGTCACTCAGAACCATCTGGGAATCTTCTATTTGAGTATTTTCCACAAACTAACTACATCAAAGTGCAAAGATTTGCCACACTAGTGGATTCTTACTATAATGCCCATTTTTAAAAGTTACAGAAAAGATAAAAGGTTTAAAATAAACATCATCTCCTCTAAAGAGAATATGCAATTAAATATAGAATCTGGCATCTCTTATTTTAAAAAGCCACAACACTTTATAATAGTTGCCACATGTTCTAATTTTTCAAAGTTATAATATTTATTTTAAGGGAATGATAAGGCAAAAAAAAAAAAAAAAAGCAAATTTCACTTAAAAAAGATTAAAGACACAACACACTTTAAGAAATATACTTTAATTCCAAAAGATTAATCCACAATGCACTGTATATTTTGTTTCTACTCATGCAGTGAAAGAGTGAAAGTAACAACTTTCTATATGTAATAAAAGTTTCCTTACTTATGTATTCTACATATGATCATTACAGCATAGATTTAAGAGTCCTAATAGGATTAGAACATCTTCTTGCAACTATTGCTTTATGCCTAAGAAGGGTAAAGACCACATCTGAACTTGTAATGACCTCCAATCTTAAACTCATTATAGTGGTCCTCTGAAGAAACCGTCCATAAATTCTTAATGACCTGATTCCATTTAAAAAAAAGAGAATGGTTTCAGCAAATGTGAAAATAGAAAATCCTGTTATTTCTTTGTCAATTCATGATAAAAGAGGAAAAAAAGAGATATTGCATTCCTCTATGGAAAAAATAGATTTGGAGCAGTGTTCTGATAGGTAAAGTATCAAAAAGTCTAAAACAGCCCCCTTGCTCAGGGCAAATGACTTCCATGTGTTTATCTTCTGAACTGCTCAGTAACTCCAAGTGATTTTCAAATTGGGAGGCAAATCATTGGCATTAAGTTCATCAAATTTAGATCGATCTTGAACAGGGACATTATAGAAATCAAGAACATCTCTGACCCTGCACATCTGGTAAAGCCTGGAGTTAGGCACTGCATGGCCCAAGTCATCAGCCAAATGTGCCAAGAGATTAAACTTCATATGACAATCTTCCAGGGAGATATCCTGCCAATTACTGGGAAGGGATGAACCAAAAACTTCTTTCATATGAGATTCCAAACGACTCTGAAGATCTTCAGGAGGTATGTATGTTCGGCTTCGCAAGGGAGGACACACCAGAATAGGCTCTTTTTTTACCTCTTCTATCATCTCAGTCTCCACTGGTTCTTTTTCTTTTCTGGAATGATCAAAAACAAATATGTGAATCTTTGGTTCACTGCATTAATGAAGTTAACAAACACCTGACTGAATCTTGTTCACCAATCAAACTCAACAAGTAATTGCATACTTTACTACTTTCTAGGCATGGTGAAGACCACAAAAGAATAAGTTCCTACCCTCAGAATGCTTATAGGTGAATGAGTTGGCATAAACAGAAAACAAAAACTATGTTTTTACATACTCTAAAAATTCCTAGGGATGGGTAAAGAAGTAAGGTAAATCATTCTATCTGGGATTCCTAGTCCTCGAAAATCTAACCTCAATCTACCTCTCTAACCTTACCTCCCACTAATCTCAAATTTAATACAATCTGACTTTTCCAAATCATGTGTTAGCTCAAGTTATATCCTTTCCTAAATGCTTTCTTGCAGAAATTTTACTTATCATATAAGTTCTGGGGCAAAATTGTTGTCTTCTAAGAAACTTTAACTTGATTTCCCCAAATATAATTAAGTTCCTCTCATCTTCTCAGCATTTTATATTGCTCTCAAGAATATATCACACACTAAGTTTTAATTTTATTTATATTCTAGTTTTTCTAACGAGACCAGGGTTTCCCAGCCTCAAATATATTTACATTTTGGACTAGATAATTCTTTGTTGTTGCGGGTGGGGGAACATGAATCCTGTTCATTGTAGGATTTTTAGTAATATCCTTGCCCCCCAGTCATGACAACCAAAGATACTGCCATGTGTCCCCAGGTGGCAACATTGTCTTGGTTGAGAATCACCGTATCAAACCATAAATTCCTCAATATAGATTATCTTTTTAATTGATTTTGGGGTTCTTTGAAACATAATAGCTACTTAAATAAGTACTGAGTAAACAGGTCAATGGAAGTGAATCTGCCTGACATACCATTTACATGCTTAATGTAAGACTTGTTTGTGAACTACCTAGGGAATCCTATTTCTCATGGAATTAGCATCTGACTAGGATTGATCCCCACAGAAAATGGAAGCACCAGAAAGAAAATGGTGTCTGGCCAAGAATGTGGTTTTTAATGTAATTCCTCCTTGCCTACTTAAAAGACTTTCTTCCAGCAATTAATCCCTCTTTCTACATAATTGTTCATCAACCTCTCACTACCTACTTTCTATTTAAAGTAGGTTCCCTAAAGTTCCCAACACTGAATCCCCATATATTAATGATATTTGGATGTGGGGACCTTTGGAAGGTTCTGGAAGGTAATTAGGATTAGATGAGGTCATGAGGGTAGGGGATTCCATGATGACATTAGTGGCTTTGTGAAAGAAGAGAGACCCAAGGTAGGACACTTGCTTTGTCTTGCCATGTGATGCCCTCTGCCATGTTATGAGGCAGCAAGAAGGCCCTTGCCAGTTGCTGGGCAGATGATGATTTGCCAGCATCCAGAACCATGATTCAAATCAACTTCTATTCTTCATCAATTACCCACTCTCAGCATCAAAAGATGAACTAAAGCCCTACTAAAGTAATTCCAGAGTAAAAAATATGATATAATATCCCACATTTTTAAAGAAAAAATTCACCGTAGACTCCACATTGCCCTCCAGCTACCACTCAAATTCTCAAAGAGTTGTCTATACTTAGTCTCTGTCCTCTCAGCTCTCATATTGTCAATCACTCTGGCCACACATTATCACACCCAGAATGAAATGTAGTTCATGTGAATGGACTAAATAGCCCAATCAAAAGACACAGTGAAGATAATCAAAAACAAGAAAAGTCTGAGAAACTGTCACTACAAGAAGACTAAAAGGACATTAGGTAGCACTGAAAGAAATATGAATAAAATATGCAATCTATACACTAATAATATTAATATTGGTTCATTAATAATAGTAAAATAATTATATAAGTTGTTAGTAGAAAAACAATTGACTATATAGATGTCTCTGTAATATCTCCTAACTTTTCTGCAAATACAAAACTTTGTATTTATGTAAGTAAAAACATAAATTTTATTGCCAAAAAAATAAAAAATAAAAAGGACTAAGTGGCTAAATGGATTTAAAATCAAGACCCAACTATATGCTCTCTATAAGAAACTCATTTTATATTCAAGGACACATACAGTCTGAAAGTGAAGGGATAGAAAAAAAAAAAATTCTATACAACTGAAAACCAAAAGAAAGCAGGCATGGCTATATTTCTATCAGACAAAATTAACCTTAAAGCCAAAATCTTTCTTTATAGATAAACAAAGTCATTATATAATGATAAAATGGTTAATTCAACAGGAAGATAACAACAACTTATATATGCATTGAACATTAGAGCACCTAAGTATATAAAGCAAATATTAGCAGACCTGAAAGAAGGTGACCACAAAACAATGGAAGAATTCAATAACCTACTTTCAATAATGGACAGAACATCCATACAGAAAATCAATAAAGAAAAAACCTGAATAATACTATATGCCAAATAGATCTAACAGACACATGCCAAACTTTCTATTTAACAGCAGAAAAGTACACATTCTGCTCAATTACACACAGAACATTATTTAGTATTAGAGCTTTTATCATAAATGAATGTTAGAACTATGTCAGATGGCTTTTCTGCATCTATTGAGAGGATCATGTGGTTTTAAAAATTTTCATTCTGTTAGGTCACAAAGTCTCAACAAATTTAAGATCAAAATACACTATCCTTTCTGACCACAACTGAATAAAACTAGAAATCAGCAAACAAAAATTCCACAAATATGTGGAAAGTGAGCAAGATACTCCTGAACAACCAGTGGGTCAATGAGTAAATCAATACGAATTTTTTTTTTAACCCTCAAAATAAATGAAAATGAGACATGACACAACAAAAGTTATAAGCCGCAAAAAAGTACTACTAAGACAGAAGTTTACAGCAATAAATGCCAATATTAAAAAAGATTTCAAACAACCTAACATTAATAACAAACTAAGAGTTAGTGTTTTGAAAATACAAAAACTGAAAAACCCTTACTAAAGGAAAAAGAGAGAGAGACAAGGCCAGAGAGAGAAGACTCACCTATGTAAAATCAAAAATTTAAGAGGAGATACACGCCTCAGAATTAGAAAGTATCATATGGGACCATTATAAATAATTACATGTTAACAAAGTGGATAATCCAGAAGAAATGTATATGTTCCTAGAAACATGCAACCCACCAAAACTAAGTCTAGAAAGAATTGAAAGCCGAAACAGACCAATAAACCAATGAGGAGATTAAAGTAGTAATCAAAAAACTCCCAACAAATAAAAAGCCTGGAGCCAGATGGCTTCCTGGGTTAATTCTACCAAATATTCAAATAAAAATTAGTACCTACCTTCTTCTTTTTGTTACAAGGGGTTGAGCCCAGGTTTGCTCTACCACTGAGATACATCCCCAGCCCTTTTTATTTTTAGATAGGGTCTTGCTAAGTTGCTCAAACTTGATTCTCCTGTTTCATCCTCTGAGTTACTGGGATTATAGGCATGAGCCACCAAGTTCAACTACTAACCCTTCTTAAACTTTTGCAAAAGTTAGAATATAAAATGCTTCCAAATTTATTTTATGAAAATAAGATATGAAAGCCAACCAAAGACACTACCAGACAACTATAAGTGTGTGTGGGGGGGGGGGGACTACAAGACAATACCTCTATGAATATAGATGAAAAAAATCAGAATAAAATGCTAACAAATCAAATTCAACATCATATCAAAGACTACACTATGACCAAGTAGGATTTACCTCTGGAATGAAAAGTTCGTTCAACATGTTCAAATCACTAGATACACCACATTAACAGAATGAAAAATTTAAAACCACATGATCTTCTCAAAATATGCAGAAAAACCATCTGACATAGTCCTATGATAAAAACTCTAAAAATTTAGTTGGAACCTACCCTGACATAAAAGACATCATTTAGAGAAGACCACAGTTAACATTATAAACAATAGAAAAAATAAAAGTTTTTTTTTCCCTCTAAGATTTTAGTACAAAGCAAGAATGCTTAGTCTTCTTTTAAACATAGTACTTTCCACTTATATTAAACATAGTACTGGAAATCCTACCAAGAGCTATTAGGGAAGAAAAAGAAATAGACGACATCCAAATCAAAAAGAAGTAAAATTGCCTTTGTTTGCAGATGATACAATCTTGTAAGTAGAAAACTCTAAAGACTCCATTGACAGACAACTTGCAATCCTCCTTCCTCAGCCTCCTGAGTCACTGGAATTACAGGAGTGGGACACCATGGAGGGCACCACCTTAAATTTTGATGCCCTAAACATGATGTAGGTCAAACAGATTTACCGTCGGAGGATTCCACACGGTACAGTAGGAAAAACAGCAGAGGGGCAGTTAGGAGACCAGGTTTCTAGATCCAACTCTGCCATTAACTTGATTTGCGATTGTGGGAAAAATAATTCCTCTTTGTGGGCCTCGACTACCTCATGTGTCACGAGTACTTTGGCGCGGAGAAGGAAATTTGCTTCTGCTGCTATATCCTACAAGCTTAGAGAAATGCCGGCCCAGGAAAGCAATTTAATAACTATTTATTGAGTTCATCAATGAATCAACAAACGAACAAAACAAGAGCATGCACTTCTTTTCTGAATCTGTGAAGCAACATATGATTTTAGTTTACCAAGTACTTTCACGTTCATGTTTTAGGTGGGGTTTAATTTCCATTAGATACATACCGACTTTCACGTTCGTGTGGAAGTGGATATTCCAAATGAGCCATTGGTTTTCTGACACCACACTCGGTGCCCGGCACACGCGCTTAAAACTCTACTTAACTCATGAGTGAGGTGGAAGGGAAAAGGGACGGTATTTCCGTTATTGGAAAATCAAGACAGAGAGGGGACGTGACTGGGCCCAGCACTCGCGGAGACCCTCACTGAAGCGTCTGAACTCAGAATCCTAACGCTCTTCTTGTTCTTACTCTGATGCGGCTCAGAACAGGGTCCCGTCTTAATGGCATGGCACTGCCTTCTGAACTCGTCCCCTAATCCTCCTCGGTTTCTTTCCTTACTTTTCATGAACGCAACCCACCGTCCGAACTTCAGTTTTACCTGGGTCGAGACCAAAATTCTCTGCGCGTCGTCCCTAAGACTATCCACGTCCAGCCTCTTCTAGCAATGCCGGACACACACAACATCGCCATTTTCGCGAAGTGCCGGTGACCTAAATTCTTCTCTCAGCCGAACGTGATGCACACAGACCAGCCAATCGGATGAAAGCTTAGTGGCAGGTGTTTCCTTCCCCCGCCCACCCCGTCGTTGCCCTCTCCTTTTGCACGCCGGGAAATGTAGTCAGGTAGCGTGGCCGTAGGAGGCTGCGCCGCGTCGAGTCTCGGAGCAAGATGGGAGTTGTAGTTGCGGGGCGTCCCGGGAAGGTTCCGGGTGACGCCTTCTGGTCCGGGGGCGGACGGTCACAGAGCAGCTTGGCTGTAAGGCATAGGAATTGGCAACCGAGAGGAGGCTCTCGAGATGTGAAAGACTGAGCAGCCTGGCAGGGGAGGGGATTCGAGGTTGGGGGACAGCCAGGGAGCGAGTCTGATATGCCGCTGGGGACGTGACCGCTCGGGGACCGAAGCAGGACCTGGCCTGGCCGGACCCAGCCAGGGAAACTCGTCTTGTTTGGGCCTAATTTCCAGCAGTTGGCTAGGCCTCACCAGAGCCTTTCCGTGTGGCCGCCGCTCTTCTCTGGCGAGAATGGCTTCCCCGAGCCCCCCGCTGGAGCCAAAGGTAAGTCGCCCTTTTCCAGGGATTCCCGTTGTCTCGCCGGTACCCCAGCTGGGCCTCCACCCCCCACAACTTTCTGACCGCCATTGCCGTGCGAGGAACCCCCCAGGCCCCGCCGATGCTCTGGGGTGCGGTTCACTTAAAATCTGCCCGCTGGCTCCTTTTCTTTCTTGAGCAACTTAATAAGTCGGCTGGAGAAAATTAGGAATGCTCCTAGCTAGCTCTCTCATTTTTGAGTTTTTATAGGTAAGGCACCATTTTTGACCTTCTTCTGTGTCTTCTGCGCCTGGCATGATGCCTGGACCCAAAGTAGATGCTTAAAGAACCTGATGGAATTGAATTGAATAGGGTCACAAGCGAATGCGAATAGAGAATTGGAGCGGGACAGTGAGGTAAGGGGAGCTTGGAGAGACCTTGGGGCAGTTTTCTAAATTAAAATATTAAGGTATAATTATTAAACCAGAAAATGCTTTATCCTTAGTTCTTTCACTTCTGAGGTCAAGATTCCAGCCTACTTTCCCTCTAATCCGAGGGGCCTGTCTTTTGCAGTCAGTTCCCGGAATTGGGCACCTTTGGGCATTCTTAGTTACCATCTTCATTCTAGAGCACCTGGCCCTGATAAGTAATAGCTTCTGCCACTTTCACTGGTAGAATTGTCCTTGAGACAATAGGAACTGACTACAGAAATCATACTATTTCAGGGGTTGCTGTCATTTGAGGATGTGGCTGTGTTTTTTACTCAGGAGGAGTGGGATTATCTGGACCCAGCTCAGAGAAGCCTCTATAAAGATGTCATGATGGAGAATTATGGAAACCTGGTCTCACTGGGTAAGAATCTGTTGTTTCTGTAACTAAAATATCCAAGAAGGCACTGGTAATCAGACTTAGAATGTTTGAACCAGTACCAAAACTGCTTTGTTCTAAAGTTCTGATTCAAACCTTTCAACCATTGGTTGTTTCCATGGCACTTATTCTTAACTTCCTTGCAGTGACCATAATGCAAGCTTTTCTGGCTTCCTGACTTCATCATCTTATTCCCATATTGCTTTGTACTTTCCCTCCTGGCTCATCCTCCCACTGCTTTCCTCCCACCCCTTTTCACTGGCCTTCTGGAGTCCCTGTTCTTCTTCACATAATGTTCCTTACCCCTCCCTGCCTTAACTGAAACCTGGCTTTTTCCCAAGGACACCACTTCTTTGGCAGTCCTTTGAGTGGGGGCTGCTTATTCTCCCACTTCTCCTTCCCCATCCTTTGTTTCAAGTCTGCAAGGGAGAAGTTACTGTTCTTCCTGCTTTTCAATGCTGTTCCCAAAGCAGTAGCTTTCTATCTTCAAACAAACTCTCCTTTGAGGACTCGGCACTCTTGTCCTAACCACTGAATTTCTTTTCACCATCATCTGTCAACATTTTCTTTGGTTCTTCACACATATAACTTTATCACCTATTTCAGTCTTCTGTACTTAACCCACACCATTGGTGACTCAGTCAATACTTGAACCTCAGTGGATCTTAACCATATTGACTCTAGAGACCCTGCTTTCCACATTTACCCAACTCATACCCTTAAATTTTTTGTGACAGACAGTTACTAAACCCCAACATCCTATTTTCTGATCACTTACTCAAGACAATAGATGTGTATTGACTGGGGCTAAACAATGGTGACTAAAACACATGTCCTAGTGGAGCTCATTGCAACTTCTTACCTTCTATCTCTCCTATCTTTTCATTATTAGTAGTGTTTCCTGTCCCCTTATGTATCCTTTTCTTTACCAAGGTGCATGTAAGTTCTCTCCTTACTACTTACTCATCTAATTAACAGCATGCTCTCTTACCACCTGCATAATAAATTATGTCCATTTGAAAATTTTAAATCCTGTTGTTACAAAAATCTACTTTTTACCCCTCTTCTACTTGAGTTACTAAACTGAAGGGAACAGTCTTTAACAAAAGGATGGATGTCTTGTGTGTGGGTATGATGTGTGTTTGTATGTATATGTATATATGTATGCGTGTGTACACATGCACACACACACAAACAGCTTTTTCCCCCCTTAGTTTCCACAGGGTTTATATTTCAGCAGGGTTGATTGGTTTGTTTTGGTTTTAGTGTTTTTCTGTTTTTGTTTTTTGGGGGTTTTGTTGTTGTTGTTGTCCTTAACAGGCCTTGTTCCCTAATCCTTTTGGTTACTACTTCAAAAAGTTAAGAGTTTCCCATCCTTCTCTGGATTTTACCTTCTATTTCACAGAGAAAATAGAAGCCACTAAGCCTGAACCCTCATATTCTCTGCCTTCATTTCACACTTAAAACTAGTCCTATTTTTTCTCCAGAAACTTATCATCAGACATCTTTTTTCCCCTAATAGCCTTCAGTTTCTAGTCCTTCTCTCTTGGTACCTTTATTCTCATGATAGGTCTCTTCATGGCTTTTTCAATTGAGGAAGAAGTGAGGAGAAAGAAAAAAATCTTTGAACCAGAGTTTCCTTTTTACTGCTCCCTATAACTTACTACTGATCCTCTTCATAGGCAAGTTTTTTAAGAGTAGTTAATGTCTATTCTGTACTACTTTACCTTTCATTATCTGTACACCTTTTGCCTTGCCTCTAGTATGTCCTTTAAGTTGTGTAGCAGGGATTTATAATAACTTCATTGTCAAATGAAATAGGCTCTTTTCTGGGCCTTATTTTATTCCACCTCGTTATGAATATTTGAAATTCTTTATTGCTTGCCTCCATTATCTTATATTCTGACTTCCTCTCTGAACACTTTGCTTGGATAATCTTATCTACACTATATGGCCCACAGGCCCTCAGGCCATCAGCTGCCATTATGTGATGGTAAGTTTCCAGTCTTTATCTCCACCCAAGAAAAGTAAGGTGGAACCTAACTGCCTGGGTTCAAATCCTGTTTCTACCACTTACTAGACTTATGACTATGGATAACTTACTTTACATCTATGTGCCTCAGTTCTTTTTTTTTTTTTAATAAAATGTAAATAATAATAGCACCAACCTTTTAAGGTTATTGTGAATATTTACTGAGATAGTGTATGTATAAAGCACTTAGGACATTGATTATCATGTAGGAAGCACAGTATGAGTATTGAATGTTATTCTCATCATCATCTTTTCTGTATTTTGAAGACCATGTAGATAAGTTAGCTGGCAAGTCTCAGATAATCCATTAAGATCTCACAGACCTTCTTTTCAGAGTCAAACATTTCTTTCTCTGTATTTCTACTATTTAACATTACTGTCCCATAAACATTCTTTATTTGTTATTTCTCTAACCACACTGATTATCACAAGGACAATAATTTTACCTGTTTCATTTGATTTCTTCAGCACTTACCACAGAGGCAGGCTTATGTTATATGCTTCTTAAATATTTGTGAAACTGAATAAGTCCAGTTCATTTAAGACTCAGCATCTCTTGATTGGATTGTTGCCATAGCCTTAAACTAGTCCCTGGCCCCCAATCTCTTTTTTAAAATATATTTTATGTATTGCTACCAAAGTGATTTTATGCTTAAAACTTTTGATGGTTCCTGATAACTAACAATACAAAAATCTTAATTTCTTACCATTTCTAGGACCTCTCTAATATAGTTTCTGCCTAGTTTTCATGTCTCCTCTGTTATTTCCTGCATACTACTTTAATCTTTAGTTGTATCACCTGCTAATTTTTTTTTTTTTTTTTTTTTTTTAATATACCATGGTGTATTTGAGTCACTGCCAACTTATCCATACGTTGGCTCTTCAGACTACTTGATTCACACTGGACAGAACTAAGAATTGCTGAAATTACAAGATATTGAACTCATTGTTTTTTTCTTTAATTATATTCTTTCTTCAATTATTTCTTAAAATATTAATTCAATTACTTGTTATTGAACCTGTGCTAGGCCCTAGAAATTTTAGTTCTTCCCCATTCTCCCATTTTGTTAACCAGGAAGACTGTTTGTTTTATACTCCATTGGATAGTAAGGTTGGCAAATATGGCCCACAGGTCACATTTGGCCTGTGGCCTATTTTTGACACAGACATACTCATTTCTTTATTGTCTTTAATTACTTTAATTATTACAATAGCAGAGACCATATAGTTCACAAAATGAAAAATATCTATTGTCCTGGCCCTTTACAAGAAAAGTACACCAACCTGACTTCTGACTTAAAAGTTTGTCCACTTACCATCTCCTTACCTTCTCTTTCTCTCCCCTCAGCTACCATACATAGTATTAGAACTACTGAGT